TATTGCCCACCCAATCAACATTTTACTAACACATCTCTGTCGAGCAGCAACTACTGGAGCCTCCCTGACCCAGATTACCTACAGATCAGTGTCACAGCACAATCAACATCTACTTTCTGTCAAACTCAAATTCATTCAAGTTCGCAGTTAGGGAAAAAGGATTTCTCAACCCAACATCCCAGACAAAGTAGTCTGAAACGGAAATTCAATTTTCCAAAATTTATCTCATAGAACTTGATCGCAATGACACACAAGTCAATTATCATTGGCAAGGAATGAAAGAGTCCAATGTTATTACTCAGCTGTAAAATCAGCTGGCTGCCCTTCGTGCTATTTACGTAACTTGTGACTATACCCGTCCACTTTTCCTTTTATGACCCAATCGGGCATGCATCCTTTAAATAATCAAATAACACTGATTGTTTGAACACAGAATCAAATTTCTTTCTTGGACAAAGATCCTGGAATACACATGCATGTTTTGCATACCAAAACAGACTTGAACTAGGTGTCATATAAGCCTGTAGCTTAATACTATCCCACGGATGACTGATCAAATCTGGGAGTTAAGTGCACTTCAATAAGCATAATGCAAAGCTATAAGGGCAATTAGTTGTGGTGAATACTCATCTCTGTTAAAAAAGAAAATTACAAATACCAACCTAACTGAGATACAAATATATTTTTTTGATTTTTTTCCCAGCATACACTAAAGTCTCTGCACATTCTTCTATTTGAGGTTTGTGGATTTTGTGTAGTAACGCGCCAGGTTTGGTTAAATTTAAGAATGAAGTTAATTTAGTGCAGCTGAATAATTTTTTCATATTTGTTTGGTCATCAGTTCATAGAGTGAGTGAGTATGATTCTACGCCGCTTTAAGCAATTTTCCAGCAACATCACAAATTGTACCCATGTGGAATCGAACCCGGTCTTTCCAGCAACATACCCCCGCTTAAGCGCAGAAATGGGCTTCACACAATGTACCCTTTAACCACAGAAATGGGCTTTAAGCAATTTTCCAGCAAATGTACCCATGGGTGGAATCGAACCCGGGTCTTCGGCGTGACGAGCGAACGCTTTAACCACTAAGCTACCCCGCCGCTTTAAGCAATTTTCCAGCAACATCACGGCTGGGGACACCAGAAATGGGCTTCACACAATGTACCCATGTGGAATCGAACCCGGGTCTTCGGCGTGACGAGTGAACGCTTTAACCACTAAGCTACCCCACCGCCCCCCGTTCATAGAGAAACACACGGCATATGGTTGACATAAAACTAAACATAATAATATAGCATACTTTTACCATGAACTATTCTTCGTATAGATGAGAACTATAATAATTTCCTTAGAATATATTAAAAAGAATACATGGAAGTACAAGAGTTCCTATATCCTTTTCCAAGTTTCCACGCATGCTTGTATTGCACTGTGGGGAAAAATCGGGAAATATATCCTGGAGATGACACAACTTTATGGATGAACAACTTCTTTATTTTAACAATAGCGACGTTTCGGTCATATGCTTGAAAATGGTATAAGAATCTATAACAAAGGTGGGGAAACAAAGCATGAAGAAAGCCGCTATTGTTAAAATAAAGAAGTTGATCATCCATAAAGTTGTGTCATCTCAATACCAGCAATCTAATATGCCACTCAAACAAATCAATAAATAATGGGACACATACACTTTCATTTGTTCACTCATTCATTTCCATCAGTATATTACAGTTACAGCATGGAAACGTTAACAAATTTCTAAGATGCTGAACAGATGTAAAACATTGTCTGCCTTACAGTCCCTGAACCACATTATTTTCCCTCCTGCCCAGCCCTCCCTATAATGCTAAAGCTGTCAATGAAGCAAGTCTAGATTTCTAGGTTCAGGATCTCCCAACTCACTGGGGCTCCTTTTCAATTTAAATGGGATTATTTGTTACTATCAAAATTATATATTCAGAGACTAAGCGTTAGTGTAAAGAAAACCTTGTGTGTAGTTGGGTACAGTGTGTTTAGATGATATTAGAGCTGGGTCTCCGTTTTAAGCAGTGCCTAATATTGAAAATCCCTTCACAGGTATAGTTTCTTCCACCTCAGTGACCCGTGAAGGTCTGGGTTAGAATGTACTTTCAGTAACCCATGCTTGTCGTAACAGGCTACTAACGGGATCAGGTGGTCAGGCTCGCTGACTTGGTTAACACATGTCATCGATTTCCATTTGCGCAGATCAATGCTCATGCTGTTGATCACTGGATTGTCTGGTCCAGACTCGATTATTTACAGACCACCGCCATATAGCTGGAATATTGCTGAGTGCGGCGTAAAACTAATCTCTCTCACTCACTCACTCACTATTTATCTAAACTGACATTCATCATCTTTCAAACCCTGAGCCGCTGTTTTTCACACTTCACCTTTTCACCTCCAACAAAATCAAAATAAGCCAGTACATCATCCCTTTAATGAGAACTAATCATAAAACGCAACTTATTGGGTCTGATGCAAGTGATATAGCTCCTTGCAGGGTTTTCAGGAAACAAACAGGAAGAATTTCTGAAATCCCATTGTCTTTGTAGATATCTAATGCTCGTAAGCTATCTTCTATAAAAGACCTTGGACTGTCTGTAGGCGGCGATGAAACCAAGCTGAGGAAGCGGAAGTGCTGAGTTTTATAACAAACTTAATTAAAACTCATCAAAAATACATCATGATCATCCTGGTTGTAAATTGCTACCTGAATCATCTCTGCCAGAAGGTGACTGTTAGATTGGTGGCCGTAGGCACGCAGTGTTTGAAGTTCAGTAATGTTGTCATCAATCTATATTGTAGGTAGGCTTTGTCTTAATCAGTAATATTTGAGACCAATTAATTATGACCAGATCTGGAATATCAAATTGGAGCGAAAATATCCTCTTCATTCTCCTGAATGAGGAAGAATATACGCCAAAACATTGAGTTCCTTATAATAAATACATCCGTACTTTTTGTGTTAAATGCCATTCAAAGGCTTATCGCGATCTCATTAAAATAAAATCCTCAGATATCAAATTACGGTCACATAAGAAGGACCTTTAGTCTGACCAGCCTCCCATACTAGATCTGGCCCCGATTTCTCGAAACAAACTTAAGTTTTTACTCAAATTTCAAACTGAGTTGGACAATTTGAAACAGATGAATTTTTAACTCAACTGCATTTTTTAAATAAAAAAGCCCAAACCACTTAAGTAATCTATCCACCAAACTCAAATTGTCTGCTATGTTTGAGTTTAATATCGATTTCAGTTCATTCTGGGAAATGCATTTGCTCAAATTTGAGTAAAAACTCTAACTTAAGTCGAAACTCAGACTTAACATTGTAGTCTGGACTGTGGAAGTTGTGGTGGCTGAGCGGGTTAGGCAGCTCAACCCAACAAAAGTACTGGAATCTGTACTTTACTGACTGACTGACTGAGTTCGGTTTTACGCCGCTTTTAGCAATATTCCAGCAACATCACGGCGGGGGACACCAGAAATGGGCTTCACACATGTGGGGATTCGAACCCGGGTCTTCGGCGTGACGAGCCTACGCTTTAACCATCAGGCTACCCCACCGCCCCTGTACTTTACTAAGCGAGTGTAATCCTGTACTTTACTAAGCGAGTGTAATCCTGTACTTTACTAAGCGAGTGTAATCCTGTACTTTACTAAGCGAGTGTAATCCTGTACTTTACTAAGCGAGTGTAATCCCAAATATAACATATGTTAAAGAATATTCAAATTGTGAAATATTTTGAAGTGTCTCCGAACGGCAACAATTTCATGGAGGAGATCAGGATCGAAGAGTGAGTGAGTGAGTATGGTTTTACGCCGCTTTTAGCAATATTCCAGCAATATCACGACAGGGGACACCAAAATTGAGCTTCACACATTGTGCCCATGTGGGGAATCGAACCCGGGTCTTCGGCGTGATGAGCGAACGCCTTAACCACTAGGCTACCCCACCGCCCCCTCAGGATCGAAGACATGTTTACACATATATAATTCTTTTAAAATTACCAAATTATGTTTTTGTATACAGTGTTCACAAATTAGTCAGAGACCCATGAAGATCCGGGTTAGAATTGATCTTCAGTAACGGTATAACTATTGGACAAAACATATCATCTGTTAAACAATCAGTCAAGCTTAAAAACTATATTCCTAACAACATATCAGAAGACTCATTGGAACGTAACACTCAAAAAAATCAAAACATATTTTTTATTTTTTTTAAAATCCTCCTAATAAAAAGTTATCACAAAAACATTTGTAAATAAAGTAAATAAATTCTGGCCCTGCGAAAAAGGATTTCTGTGTTGGTTTCAAGGAGTTTAATACAGAAACAGTAAGCCTGTAAACATCGTCAAACAATCTGGACACTTTACTGGCGCACGCTCCCATCCCTGAACACTGTGACAAGTATCCAACAAGCCTCTCTCCCTGGGCTTCCTTTTAGTATCATAGCATATCATCTCATCAAGGTCTGGCTGAGTCGACTGATAATCTAGTGTAACTTGTAATAGTAACTATACGAGCAGGGTTTATTAATTAATCATACGACTGGCCAGCATTCAAGCAGAAATGCTCAGGGTATGTTCTCGTAAATCATCTTTTGAAGTTTGCACATCATTGACACTGATAATGCCATTGTTGAATTAATCTTGCTTGCGCATTTACCATTGAATAATAATCACCATCTCTGCAGCGATTTAATATCCAAAGATATTATGACAAAGTTTTCATTACCATATATAAAAAACGGCGTCAGGCTCCGACTTGATAAAATAGGAAAGTGCTCCCGTGCAACTAATTTAATTTCCAGCCTAAACCGTGGATCTGTATCGTGATACTCTTTTAAACCAGCGATGATGCTCAATTACATCTGCTTGGGTGAAATATTCCACCGATGCACGGATTTTGTCTAAATTTACCCTCCCCATTTCCTTATCCTCAGAGTAACTCCTACAGAGGCGGAGGAGGGACAGTGTCCGTGACGTCACGGACCCTGAGGCCAGTGATAGAACTAATCCCAGTGGCTGGACGACAATGGTATAAAAGCAAGCAGTTACACGGCTCCACCTCGATTCATCGACTGACCGATCACACTGACAAGCGAGGACACAGCAGCCCGGAGTAATTACCTCAGTCACAAGAGAGTTCCACATACTCAGGTAAGAATGATCTATGGGAGAAAATGTCCTACCTCGGGTAACTCAGATGCATTGTCATTGTATTTTTCATTTTTTAATGAAGTTGTTCTTTCATGTCTGTGAAGTTTGCTCTTTAAATTTGGAGTTTTAAACTATTTGTAAAGCTGTTGCTTTTTTCACTGTAAAAGGGAATTTACTGAATAGTTTAAAAACAACTTGGGCTTAAAATGGAAACGATTTTCTGGGGTTTCACTGGATTGTTGTATTAACACATCTTTAGCCATTAAAGCCCTATTAAAGAACTTTTTGTGAAGATTTTGCCATAGTACTATTTATCTGTTAAAAAAGGTTGTTATAACAGTCAAAACATACTTCACTCCAGATACCTATATCGTTTAAGTTTTTCTATTCAAATTTATTTTTCAAATAGAAATACCTTAAAAACAGATAGCATAGCAAACTACATCCATTTTTCATTCAATGAATACTGGCAATAATCTTTTTAATTTTGAATTAGTTTAAAAGTGCTCATTTACAAAATTTAAAATCCTTTAGTAAACAAAAATATCCTATTCAGTGATTAATAATGGGTGAAATATTAATTCATAATCATGGTAAGAAAGTTAGCTTGACAAAAATAATCTATATTAGATATTCCTACATATTTCTAAATTTCTGTTAAACATTTTCACACAGCAAAGAAGATTAAAAATACCTCAAAATTAATATGAAATTAATATATATTTTTTAAGAATGAGACTGTTTTGGTATTTTTGTTCATTTACAGAAACAAATTCATTTCAAAGGAAGATTGCGGACACATTTCTCCTAATTTTAAAGAAAAAGATTTTAATTAAATAGAATGTACATAGAGTCTTGAAAAGGATTATATGAATTAGTTGGAATTTATGCAAGTATCTGCAAGAAAATGGACCTTGGCTTTCATTGCCCAAAATATAACTTGAATTTGTTGAAATTTGTAATCAGTAGAAACAGGTAAAGGAAAATCCTATTGACTTGAGTCTGTTGATTGGAAAGAATCCATCTTGAAACTAAAATCAACTTACAAAATCAACAGATTTAAGTGATTTCTATACTTAATATAGCTGATAATTTATGTATAATTTTGCTTAACGACCGAGATTGCATCAAAGGAATTGTTAAAAAACATGTTCAGAAGTACACACTCTGACTGTTATAGATTTAGGTATGCTGAACTTACATCCTTTTGCCTTACACTAACATATCTATACGAATGTAGTTTGGAAATTGCTAAATGTTAATATCAAACAGTGTGAGTGAGTAAGTGAGTGTTTCACTATGCCCTGAGAAATTCAAGTCCGTGATACTCTGGATAAAATAACCTGATTCACACTAAATATATAAAATAGTTTCCACAATAAGGAATTCATTTCGTATATATGGTGATAGTGAGTGAGTGAGTTTAGTTTTACGCCACTTTTAGCAATATTCCAGCAATGTCACAGCAGTTTAGTTTAGTTTTACGCTGCACTCAGCAATCTCAATATTAGGTCCCATAGTGAAGGATTCCATTTTCTCTTCTATACAATTTATAGTGAGTGAGTGAGTGAGTGAGTTTAGTTTTACGCCTCACTCAGCAATATTCCAGCTATATTGCAGTGGTCTGTAAATAATCGAGTCTGGACCAGACAATCCAGTGATCAACAGCATGAGCATCGATCTGCGCAATTGGGAACCGATGACGTGTCAACCAAGTCAGCGAGCCTGTCATTGAATAACGAAGGCAAACATTTGTTGTGAATGAAAATATGTGTAGATTTTAGTTTAAACCATAAAGATAATCACAAAAACTTCATATATGTTCTTTACCCAATACCATGCAGGCGTTAGTATTAATGAGTGCTGAGTGATTTACATCTTGTGTGTAAACCACAAGCGCCAGTGTTAAAATATCCGGAACCTAATTATCAGTTTCAATTACGTGTTCATGCGAGTCCAGTTTCATTCATCATAACCTAATTAGCAGAATAACATCAATTTCCTTATAATCAATCAACTCCTAACACTGATTTTGAGGTGAGGTGAAATGGGGTTTAATGTCGCACTTAAGAATATTTTGCTCATATGACGACGTGCATGCATGTGTATGTGTGGCTTCTTGTACTAGCCCAGACTTAAGCTGGTTTTATAGTGCTAGCCCACTGAGATACCACGCCCGCAGTGAAGCATGAATACCCCACTCAGACACATTATACTGACTCCGAGCCGACCAGTCCTTGTTGTACCCATTAATGCCGAGCGCCAGGCAGGGACCAACAAGTACCATATCTTGACGTGTTTTGGTATGACGCGGCCGGAGTTTGAACCCGCGACCTTCCGCTCTCTGGGCGGACGCTCTAACCACTACACCACGGAGGCAGTCTGCTGATTTTGAAGATGGACATAATTTGAAAATACATAGAGATTACCATTTTTTATTTTGTTAGGAATCAAATTTGTGAAATACAAGATGATATTTCTGATATATTTATATACAAGAATAAATGAGGGTAATGAATATCTTTATCCAAAAATATTATTTTAACCGTATTTGCCAAAATTTTCAAGTCTATAGGTCTGAACGTGTGTCTTGACATAATTTTCAGTAGATTAGTGTGAGTATATGGATATTAATACCATACAGCTGTGTCTAAACATCATTGTCAGCAGATCTAGTGTAATTGCATGGATATTATTAGCACATCTCCCAGACTATGAAGAAACCTTGTTTGACTTGGGCAACAGACTTGGGAAAAAGTCAGGGACTAATTTAACAATTATATGTCTTTATGACATACTTTCATCTAAAGAAGAAGGTATAGAAACACAGAGATGCCAACCCCAAAGTTTTGCAACTAGTAGTTTCAAGGATCAAACTTAGTAGCTTAACCAGAAAGATGGTAGTCAACTAAATACTTACAATCATGATGGATTCTGAGAAAGATAATACGACACTAATCAAGAGTGAAGCTTTAATTTCCCATACATCCAACAGCAGATTTCCAAATTACCAGCATTACATTTATTCTGGTCGTCTCTTTCTGGCGAAAATGTATTTAATCGACGAAAATATATGTTTTTGTCTATAAATCTGAATTTTAATGATTTTTTCTTCAAATTTCATAGAATTTCTAGTGCAATCGTATTGGCGTAGTTTGGGGCTAAAAATTCGTAGCGACTATGTTTTTGTCTATAAATCTGAAGTTTAATGAATCTTTCTTCAAATTTCATAGAATTTCTAGAGCAATCGTATTGGCGTAGTTTGGGGCTAAAATTCGTAGCGACTACGATAAAATCGTAGAGGTTGGCATCTCTGGAAACAGGATGCATATCACATTGGTGGAACACCACTTTTTTCATATCGTGCTAAATTATTTGCAGCTCATGTTGTCAACAGAAACATGGTGAGACATCCGGCACCCAATCTAAAACTAGAAAGTGTTTTTACTTATAAAAACAGAGGTCTCCCCTTGCCCCATTGAGACCTCAAACAATTCATTTGATTCCTTCAATTTCAAAATCTCTAAGTATGAAAATATATATTATTGATAGTATGTTATTACGTTTGTAAAGTCTTCATTTGATATTTTTATATTCAATTGAACTTAATTGCTTATCAACAAATCAACAACTCCACAGTTATATTTTACAAAAAAATCAGAATTCCAAATGATTCTATTTCGAAATGCATGAATGAATCTATTGTTTTTCAGTCACATAGTTGTCTCTAGTCATTAAAAATTTCAACAAAATGCTGAAATCAAAATCAAATTTATCACATTCAGCTATGGATGTAACTTTTTCACTGGAATCTAATCAAGAACATTTACTACCGAAGATAAAACAATTTTGCAAAATATACAGAGAATGTTCATGGTGTTTTATAGTAGTACATGTATATGGTTGATGTTCTAAGTCTACTAATAATTGGTATTAAGTATACAAAATTTGGTGCAGATGGGTGAAGTGCTTTTAGAGTTAAGCTCCGAACACAAACCCTACCCTTCAAAAAGACCAAGTCCAAATTTGTTGCCATTGAAACAGTAAAAAATAAAATTGAAAGAAAAGTTCAAACCCGCAAAAGGCACATCTACATGATATAGAGAAGCAGTATAGCAAATTTGGTAAAGATGGGTCAATTAGGTTCAGAATTATGCTCAAGAAACGAACTTTACCCTTCAAAAAGGCCAAGTCCAAATTGTTGCCATGCAAACAGAAAAAATAATGAAACTGAAAAACAACTCAAACCCCAAAAGGCACATCTACATGATATGGAAAGGCCGTATACCAAATTTGGTGAAGATTGTTCAAGTAGTTTAAGAGTTATGTTCCAGAAACAATGGGAACGCCGACGACGGAAACTCAACCAAAAACAATATGTCTCCCAACCCTTCGAGGGAAGACATAAATATTGGAAATATCAGGCATTAATTGGCATTTTATTGATGTTTTGGACTTGAAAGTAGTTCATCTAAATTGACCAAATTTGCATGGTTATCAGACAGTAATATCACATAAGTATATTCATAGTGATATCCAGTTTATCAGATTGGTATATCACATCAGACAGACACTGACACTCTCACATCGCAATTAGTGAAACGATCTTGAACGTGATGCTAAAGCCATTTTCACCTCAATAATAACAGACAGAGCCAAATAATGATAGACAATACTGGACAACACACAGATTTCTTAAGCAGGACAACCAGACTTGGTCGTAATGTCAATGAGGCTCACTTGGAACTAATTTTCCTGTCAACTGATATCACACAGATTTTGGAAAACCTAACAAGATCGAACATAAAATAAGAAGGCCTAGACATGACAGATTTATTTTGGGGCCATATTTCTCATTACTGATCCCAATAACTAAAAGCCTTCATTTGGAACTTATGATATCACCTTTGTGCACCAGCCTGGAGATAATCCATTGCTCCATCAGTTGTCATGAAATAGGAATCAATGTATCGATATACAAAACATTATGATGACAGATG